AGATCAATTTCAGATGTCCAAGCCACCTCTACCATTTGTTATATACATAGACAGTTTACTTTTTGTCTTTTTGATATCCATCTAACGTTCATGTTTTCAATTTGTATAACGTTAAACACATAGATGAACATGTTGTTTTTGTATCGACAAACTGATTGTCTTTTTGGCCAGTCAATCTAACTTGCCTATTTTGATACTCAAAATCGTCGTTTTCAGTCCTCTTAGTTAAAAAAAAAATTTCGGGAGCGGAACCCCCCTCCACCTCCCATATTTTCGTCCTCGCAAGATTGAAATCCTGACTACGTCACTGAGTGACTGTAAACTTACTAACAAATTTATTCAAAATAAAGTAATTTGCAACAATCCTTACCTTAAAAGAAAACGAAAAAGTACTTGTGCAGCCAAGAAAGAAGAAAAAAACAACATTGCAGCTAGAATCTTAAAAAATAGGAAACCACTCAAATTACCATGCACACTAGTTTACCGCAATAACTTGCATGAATTCGGTATCATTTTCCATAGCTAGCAATGCGTGAGTCGAAACTCAATGTCTACACTACCATCTTCTACACGAGGAAATATTGTCAATTTTCGGTTAAATTTGTTCGCCAAACCAGCACTCACGACCACAGGTTTTCCCCATCCGAATAGGGGTGGACCCAACTAAAGCAGCCCAGTGCAAGCATCTGCCTCACTAGGTTTTGAGTCGCCTCAATTTTTAAAACAGTCCGTCATTGAAAAAAAAAAGAGACAGAAGAACAAGTGGGCCAATTATTTGGCCCAAACTATATAGAAATATAACCCATCCATTACAAGAATCCCAATTGGAAAGCGTTCACCCGAATCATCCCAACTCCTGACTCCCAACAGAGGAATTGAAAAAAATTGTGTTGAAATCTCCAATTTACAATCCCAAATTCATGAAATCGATGAAGATAATAAAAAAAAAAAGGGAATTCGTGGGTATCTCATATCTGAACTACAGAACCACGCCCTCGACCAGCAGCGTTCATCGGTAGTTGGTAGGTAAGTTTTCTATTGATATTCCTCTGCTATTGCGGCCTGTGGGAGGAAATAGGAATAACAAAATTTTTTGTTGGTATTCATATGCTAAAATTGTATGTCTGTATAGAGATCACTGACTCACTGCAACATGGAAATGGGTATTTGAAAATTGAAGCAACAGGGTCTTTCACAAAAATGTTGTGTTATTGACTTTCGCAGTTCATTTCATGTGAAATTGGTCATGATTGATTGGTGTCTGATGGAATTGAATCTTGTTATGGTTATTATTNAATTGAACTTAATGGAAATTTAGAATGAGTTTGTTTGGCTAATGGGCAAATCAAACAATCAGAAATATCACAAAACTTTATGTTTGTATCTAAATGGGAAAGTAAACGCAGACTCTTATTTGAAAGGTGACCAAGGCGTTTATGCCAAAGTCTCAGGGATGTTGTTGCGATAGCTGAATTGCATCTGGTTTTCTTCAGAGTATCAAGGTTGTAAAGTCCTCCTCGTTCAATTCCCATCCCAATCATCTTCCCCGATCGTTGAACCTGTAGCATACAAGTATTCTTAGTGAATGTGGCAAGAAGGTGAGAATTGCAAACAAGTTTGCTAATGGAGATCAGATTTAATTTAAAAGAAGGAATACATAGCACATCATGCAATGTAAAATCAGCCAAATGAATGCTGCCTATGTGTGTAACAGCTGCTAGTTCTCCATTGGGAAGATGCACAGTTCGATCAAGAACATAAGATTTGGTGGTTAATAAATCAGCAGAGCAAACCATGTGATCGGTAGCTCCTGTGTCAAGTATCCAATGAATTTCTTTGCTAATAATGGGAGCACAGAAGGTTATACCTGAGAGATCACTCATAGCAGATGTACTACCAACATGATTAGCAACAGATTTTGACTTATTTTTATCAAGCATCGCCAAGAGATTCTGGTATTGCTTTGCCGTGGGAGTGAAGGATGTAGGAGGTGTTGTTATATTGGCATCCACATGATTAGCTTTGGAAAAATTATTCTTGCGCTCTTGCTGATCGAACTTACCATCTGCAGAATTAATCATTTGCAGCTTCCGACAGAAGTCAATGGTGTGTCCTTGCGTACTGCAATAATCACATTTAAGGTGTGATCGGCATGTCTCTGAGGTGTGCCCAACTTTGTCACATTTTGCACATTTCAAATGAGGATTTTTAGGTGTGTTAGTTCTCTCAAAGCTTCGTGTGTTGGTTCTTACAGCAAAGGCTATGGCTTCAGGCTGCAATGTGCTTTCCTTTGACATTCCTCGCTGTTTTTCATCTTGAAGGATGAGAGAGTGGGCTTTGTTAACTGTAGGAAGTGGATCCATAAGCAATATTTGTCCACGAACGGCGGCATACACGTCATTCAACCCCATGAGGAATTTAATGGTCTTTTGGCTTTGCTGAAATTGCAAAACTTCCTTCACAGTCCCACATGTGCAGGTTGGGATAGAACACAATGCATCACGTTCAT